CTCTGAGTTATAAACACACAAGCTCTCTTCCATCAGAGGACGTAGCCTACCCTGTGAGTACATTGTTGTAACACGGAGACTGCTCTGAGTTAACCCAGGAGGGCCACCGGACTGCAAACCCAGAGACAGGAGTCACATCACACCCGTGTGAGTGTAACAGGGTACCTGACTCGAGCAAAGTCAGATGGAGATGTTCTCTAGGCTACGCAGAACTTTTAGTGGCTGGGCCCCGGGATCATCTGCTTCCCAGCTCCCTGCATCCAGGAGTGGGGGACAAACTGACTCTGGCTACTTCCTTCAGCTACCATCACCCAGACGCAAAACCCCACCATCTCAAGCTGGGCCATTTCCAGTCAACTAGTGCCTTTTCCTCCACCAACCCCCCATTCTCTTTATGGCTGCCAGAACAATCTTTTAAAACTTAGATCCTATCTTAATGCCTTTCTGTTTAGTAGACTCTAATGGCTTCTAGCTCTTTGGATAATGTACTATAGCCTACAAAATGTATTCATTTAACCTACAGATTCTCCCTTCCCTCTCTCTGAGAGGGTCCTGAGAGGCCCAGGCTGACCTTGAGCTCACACTCTTCTTACCACCTCCTCCCAGATGCTGTGCCAACACTTCCAGGTTGTGCGTTCCTAGATCTCTGGCCCCTTTGCAGCACTTAACACTGCTGAAACAATTTTTTTATCCACAAATTTGTTTATTCATTTATTTCTGTCCTCTTGCCTTCTTGGAATGTCATCTCCCAGAAGACAAGGATTGTGTAAGCCCCAGAGCACGGAGTTCATGAATGAATCTCCATCTCATTGAAGTGACTGCTGTCCACATGGACCACACTGACTCTACCAGGAAGCCAGGAATGACACACTGGCACTTAACAGTTGGCACCTTTATTTGTGATTCAAAGTCCTGCTTTGAATCCAAGGAAGTGCTGGCATCCTGGGACACTTTAATGGCAGAAGAGATCAGTTATCACAGGGTTTCAAGCCAGGAACAAGAGCCCAGTGGTTGTAGCAGGGAGCCAGAAGCCAAGGCACTTGAGAAGGAAACCTCTAGAAATACTGACTTGCCTCCAGATCCCATACGAATAGACTCTGTGCCTCGATTTACCCAGTAGTTATCTAGGTGTATTGCTTTGAGATCTCCGACAGGAGACAAAATAATTACAGCTAGGGAATAGTTAGATCTTCAGATAGGAAGTGCTGCAAGCCACGAGTCTCATTATTCATAAAACTCTTGATTTGTGCTCAACACAGTACCCTTGGGCCTTCCCATAAGCTAACCCGACAGAGATTCTGCTCAGACAAGTTCCATACACGGGAGCAACCAAGGGCTTGCAGGGCCTCAAGAGGTAGGGTGTCCAGAGCTCCAGGATCAAGAAAAAGGGAAGTGCAACGGTGATAGCGGCGGTGGCGGCCACAAAAAGGAGGGGATAAGAGCGTCTGGAGGTCCGAGTGGTTAATGTGCAGGTTCACGTTCACAAGCACCCTGCGAAGGCGAGACATGTGTCTCTCATACAGAGCTTCCAAAATCAGCAGGGAGAGGTGGAACCGGGGGAGCGGACAGTGCATTCAACCTAGAGAGGGAGGAAGGGCGGCTGGGCAGCCAGACAGACCTTGGCAGCATCTAGCAGGGGAAACAAGGAGAGTCAGGACGCTGGGAGAGGGGTGTAGGTGAGGTCAAGAAGAGACGGGGCAATGGGACCAGGAGGGTGGACAGGCGATGTCAAACACACGGGCCCAGAGGGTGAGCAACTGGGACACCTGTGGAGGGGAACCCCAAGGGAAAGGGAAGAGGGTAGCAGGGTGGTCTGC